ATTTCCACATAGTAGCAATGAACATCCTGAAAATAAATTTCAGAAAATAATCCTATTTACAACAGCATCAAAATGAACAAAATACTTACGAATAAACTTAACAAACGAAGAGTAAGACTTCCACATTGAAAACTTACACATTGTTGAGAAAAATTAAAGAAGGTTTAAATAAATCAAAAGATATTCATGTTCATGAACTGAAAGACTTATTAGTGTTATTTTAGCAATGCTTCTGAAACTAATCCATAGATTCAATGCAATCTTTCTCAAAATTACAACTGACTTTTTTACAGAAATTGAAAGGCTGATCAAAAAATTCATATGAAATGCAAGTGACCCAGAATAACTAAAATAATCTTGAAAAAGAAAAACAAAAGTTGAAGGATGCAAACTTCCAGATTTCGAAATTTACTACAAAGCTACAGCAATTAAAACAATGTGTTCACTGGCATAAGGGTAGACATACAGATCAATGGAACAGAACAGAGAATCTAAAATAAAATTACAAAATTGGCTAAAATAAAGAGAATCAAGAAAAAAACTCTTAAATTTATGAGCACCGATTTAAATTGAGAAAGAATAGTCTTTTCAAGAAATGATACCAGTACAACTGGATATATACAAGCATAACAATGAATTTGGACCCCCATCTCACTTCATCTAAAAAAATTAATTCAAAATGGCTCAGAGACTTAAATAAATATAAGAGCTAAAATTATAACCCTTAGAAGAAAACATAAGCATAAATCTTGGTGGCCTTGGATTATGCAATGGTTTCTTAGACATGACACCGAAAGCATAAACACCCAAAAAAACCTGATAAACTGGACTTCAACAAAATAAAAGACCTGGCTGGGTGCAGCAGGTCACGCCTGTAATCCCAACACTTGGGGAGGCCAAGGCAGGCAGATAGCTTGAGGTTGGGAGTTTGAGATCAGCCTGGCCAACATGGTGAAACCCCATCTCTACTAAAAGTACAAAAAATAGCAGGGCGTGGTGGCGCATGCCTGTAGTCCCAGTTACTCAGGAGGCTGAAGTGGGAGAATAGCTTGAACCTGGGAGGCGGAGGCTGCAGTGGGCCAAGATCGCGCCACTGCACTCCAGCCTGGGTGACAGAGCAAGACCCTGTCTCAGAAACACAAACAAACAAACAACAGACCTTTGTACTTCAAACGGCACCATCAAGAAAGTGTAGGACTAACATTTAAGTCTCTAATCCATCTTGAATTAATTTTCGTATAAGGAGTAAGGAAAGGATCCAGTTTCAGCTTTCTACTTATGGCTAGCCAGTTTTCCCAGCACCATTTATTAAATAGGGAATCCTTTCCCCATTTCTTGTTTCTCTCAGGTTTGTCAAAGATCAGATGGCTGTAGATGTGTGGTATTATTTCTGAGGACTCTGTTCTGTTCCATTGGTCTATATCTCTGTTTTGGTACCAGTACCATGCTGTTTTGGTTACTGTAGCCTTGTAGTATAGTTTGAAGTCAGGTAGCGTGATGCCTCCAGCTTTGTTCTTTTGACTTAGGATTGTCTTGGAGATGCGGGCTCTTTTTTGGTTCCATATGAACTTTAAAGCAGTTTTTTCCAATTCTGTGAAGAAGCTCATTGGTAGCTTGATGGGGATGGCATTGAATCTATAAATTACCTTGGGCAGTATGGCCATTTTCACGATATTGATTCTTCCTATCCATGAGCATGGTATGTTCTTCCATTTGTTTGTGTCCTCTTTGATTTCACTGAGCAGTGGTTTGTAGTTCTCCTTGAAGAGGTCCTTTACATCCCTTGTAAGTTGGATTCCTAGGTATTTTATTCTCTTTAGAGGAAAACCTAGGTAGTACCATTCAGGACATAGGCATGGGCAAAGACTTCATGTCTAAAACACCAAAAGCAACGGCAGCAAAAGCCAAAATTGACAAATGGGATCTCATCAAACTAAAGAGCTTCTGCACAGCAAAAGAAACTACCATCAGAGTGAGCAGGCAACCTACAGAATGGGAGAAAATTTTTGCAATCTACTCATCTGACAAAGGGCTAATATCCAGAACCTACAAAGAACTCAAACAAATTTACAAGAAAAAAACAAACAACCCCATCCAAAAGTGGGCAAAGGATATGAACAGACATTTCTCAAAAGAAGACATTCATACAGCCAACAGACACATGAAAAAATGCTCATCATCACTGGCCATCAGAGAAATGCAAATCAAAACCACAATGAGATACCATCTCACACCAGTTAGAATGGCGATCATTCAAAAGTCAGGAAACAACAGGTGCTGGAGAGGATGTGGAGAAATAGGAACACTTTTACACTGTTGGTGGGATTGTAAACTAGTTCAACCATTATGGAAAACAGTATGGCGATTCCTCAAGGATCTAGAACTAGATGTACCATATGACCCAGCCATCCCATTACTGGGTATATACCCAAAGGATTATAAATTATGCTGCTATAAGGACACATGCACACGTATGTTTATTGCAGCACTATTCACAATAGCAAAGACTTGGAATCAACCCAAATGTCCATCAGTGACAGATTGGATTCAGAAAATGTGGCACATATACACCATGGAATACTATGCAGCCATAAAAAAGGATGAGTTTGTGTCCTTTGTAGGGACATGGATGCAGCTGGAAACCATCATTCTTAGCAAACTATCACAAGAACAGAAAACCAAACACCGCATGTTCTCACTTGTAGGTGGGAACTGAACAATGAGATCACTTGGACTCGGGAAGGGGAACATCACACACCGGGGCCTATCATGGGGAGGGGGGAGGGGGGAGGGATTGCATTGGGAGTTATACCTGATGTAAATGACGAGTTGATGGGTGCAGCACACCAACATGGCACAAGTATACATATGTAGCAAACCTGCACGTTGTGCACATGTACCCTACAACTTGAAGTTTAATAATAATAAATTAAAAAAAAAAAAAAAAAAGAAAGTGTAGGAAAAAAACCCACAAGACTGGAGCAAATATCTGCAAATCACAGATCTGACCAGGCACTTGTATGTAAACTACATAAAGAACTTCTGAAACTCAATAATAAAAGACAACCCAATTTTAAAATGGGCAAAAGATTTGAATAGATATTTCTGCAAAGAAGATACGCAAATGGCCAACACATACATGAAAAGATGTTCAACGTAAGGGTGAGTCAAGGGTAAGTCAAAACACAGTGAGATACATCATACCCATAGGATGGCTAAAATAAAAAAGATAGTAATAAGTAATGGTGAACACATGGAGAAACTGGAAATCTCATACACTGCTGGTGGGAATGTAAAATGGTATAGCCACTTTGGAAAACAATCTGGCAGTTCCTCAAAGGTTAAAAAGAGTTACCATATGACCCGGCAACTCCACTTGTAAGTCAGCACTAAAGAGAAATGAAAATATATGTCCATACAAAAACTTGTCCATGAATGTTCACAGCAACATTATTTTTAATAGCCAAATAGTGGAAACGATTAAAAAATGTCTATCAGCTGATGAAGGGATAAACAAAATGTGGTATTCCAAAACATGGAATACTGGTCAGCAATAAAAAGGAATTAAGTAATGATATGTGTTACAACAGGAATGAGTCTTGAAAACATGCTACTGAAAGCAGACAAAAAAGGATACATATTGTATTTTTCCATTTACATTAAATGTCCAGAAAAGGCAAATCCATGGAGACAGAAAATAGACTAGTAGTTGCCTAGGGCTGGAAAGTGACTGCTAATGTATATGAGGTTTCTTTTGAAGGTATGAAAAAATTCTTGAATTAGACAGTTGTAATAGTCACACAACTTGGTGAATATACTAAATCCCACTGAATTGTACTTTATAAGTGAGCAAAATTTATAGCATATGATGAATATCTCAATTTTTAAAACCTGGATTAAAAAAACAATCCATCGAAACAAACTGCAGAAGTGGAAATAGTGCCATAAATAGTACCCTACATTTATTTTCAAAGTAGTGTCAATGATGAATCTTTGTGTTGGATATATAAGACTAACATTTAGTAAGTGCCTACCATGTTGCAAGTTCCAGTAAGCACTATGTTAGATTAAATAGCTAAATTATCAAATATATTTCTAGTTCCTTGAGGTGCAAAGTTACTGACTGGTTGGTTTTTTTTTTTTTGGAAACAGGGTCTCACTCTATCAGTCAGACTGGAGTGCAGTGGCATGATCACAGCTCAATGTAGCCTCAACCTCCCTCGCTCAAGCAATCCTCCCACCTCAGCTTCCCAAGTAGCTGGGACTACAGGTACATGCCACCACATCCAGCTAATTTTTAAAATGATTTTTTGTAGAGACAGGGTCTCCCTATGTTGCCCGGGCTGGTCTCAAACTCCTGGGCTCAAGTGATCCTTTGGCCTTGGTCTCCAAAAGTGCTGGGATTATAGGTGTGAGCCACTGTGCCTGGCCTTTCTTCTTCTGTAATGTAAGCATTTACATTTATAAAGTTCCCTCTAAGTACTGCTTTCATTGCATCCCATATGATATATTTTCATTTCTATTCATCTCAAAGTATTTTGAAATAGCCATTATTTCTTTCACCTATTAATAATGTGTTAATTTGGGGTCAGGCACAGTGGCTCACGCCTGTAACTTAAGCACTTTGGGAAGCCAAGGCAGGAGGATCACTTAAGGCCAGGAGTTCAAGGCTAGCCTGGGCAACATAGTGAGACCCAACTCTACAAAAAAAATTAAAAATCAGCAAGGCATGGTAGCATGCCTTATAATCCCTATAATCCAGGAGGCTAAGGCAGGAGGATAGCTTGAGCCCAGGAGATTGAGCCTGCAGTGAGCTATGATTGTACTACTGCACACTAGGCTAGGCAACAGAACAAGACTCCGTCTCAAAAAAAAAAAAAAGTGTTTTTACATAATTGTGAATTTTCCAGGTTTCCTTCTATCATTGATTTCTAGCTTCATTCCACTGTTATCAAAGAAGATACTTTGTATTATTTCAATCTTTCGACATTTATTGGAACTTTTTTTTTGTCAAATGTTTTACTGAGTGTAGACATCTGGAGTACTGTAAAACACGCATTATCTGTAGATTCAAAAAGGAGTAAGCCGCATTGTCCTCACTGTCAAATGTGTCAGACTTGGCATACATGATGGAGATTAATGAAGTATCGTGAGAGTAACATGGTTCCTGAAAAGCTTCTACAATTTGGAGTAGGGTCTTAATCATGTGAAAAGCAAAGCTATTCACATTTAGTGAATTTGCATTTCATTGGTGGAGGGGTCCACAGTATTTTAATTTTAAAACAAACAAAAATAATTTGTCGAAGATTCCCATCTTCCCAACTTTAATTGTTCCATCGGTTTTCAGAAATTTTAATTTTAAAAAAATCAGATGCCTTTTGGAAGTTGTATGTTTATCTGAGCAATAACTAAATTTTATTTCTTTTTCGGTTGTTGAGGTGTGTTAAATTTGAAGAAGATCATATCTCCATCTTCAACAATATAATTTCTGCCCTGTTGTCTGTACTTTCCAGCAGCCTTGACTGCATTTTCAGAACCTTACTCTTTAAAATCTTTGTATTTCATTACTTCAGCCATATGAATCCCTTTTCAAAATCTGTGTGAATCTTTCCTGCAGCCTGAGGAGCCTTAGCCCCTTCCCTGATGGTCCATGCATGCACTTCATCCGAGCCTGCAGTGAAAAAGTATTCTAGTTGGAGTGCTGCAAACCCAGCCTTAATGATCTTTGGCAAAGCACTTTGTGGCATGTTCGCTTCCAGATACTTCTGTCTCTCCTCAGCACTCAATTCATGCAACTTGAGTTCCAAGGCCCCACTAAAAGGAATGACCAAGGCACCTAGGTCATACTTGTCCACCCACTCTTTAATTTTTATCAACCATTTGTTTTTCATTCTAATGTAGTCTTTTTCACAAAGATTAACCAAGTAGACCATTGGTTTTGAAGTCAAAAATAAGTGTTTATTCAACACTTCAATCTCTTTGTCATTCCAATCATGATAGAAGCGAACAGGTTTCTTTTGATCTATAACCCAGGATTTTACTTTGCACATTATATCATATTTAGGTTTTAGTTTTTTATCTCCTCCTCTCACAGCCACCTTTTCTAGTTTATCTATAATGGGCCCAATCATTTCCTCATCTTCAAGCTGAAGCTCTTCATGTATTATTTCTGTATCTCAAATAGGATCTACACTTCCTTCAACATGCGTGATATCATCATCTTCAAAAGCATGTGTTAGATGAAAGATGCCATCACAGGCACGAATATGAGATAAAAAAGCATTCTCCAGGCCCTGCCCATTGTGAGCTCCTTTCACAAGGCCAGCAATAACCACTACATTTAGAAAGGCAGAAATTTTGCTCACTGGTTTGTGGTATTGGCAAAGAAAGTCAAACCTTTCATCTGGCACAGGCACTCTGCTCTCATTAGGATCAATAGTGCAGAATGGGAAGTTTTCTGCTGAAGACTGACTACTGGTTAATACACTGAAGAAAGTAGATTTCCCAACATTTGGCAATCCAACAATGCCAATTTTCAGTGAGGTTCCAAATCTTCCAATGATTGGGGGTGGTTTAATTCCATCACCTCCCTTTTTAGGGGGCATCGTGCTCGGCCTGGGTGATGACACAGGGTCCCAGCAGCAGTGACAGAAAGGTCCTGCCGGCAGCCGGAGGTGGGGAAGAAGCTATTGGAACTTGTTTTGTGGTCTTACATATGTCTATCCTGAAGAATGTTCCAGGTACACTTGAGAAGAATGTTGACTCTGGTGTGGTTGGGTTAAGTGTTCTACATAAATCTGTCAGGTTTCATTGACTTATAGTGTTGTTCAAGACTTCTGTTTCCTTATTCTGCTGTCTAAATGTTATTTTATTGAAAGTATGGTATTAAGTCTCCAACTGATGTTGGGGTTGGTGGTGAATGACATGAAAACCTTCACATATCTCAACAGTCAGAACAATGGGCTTATTTTCTGTTATTACAAAGACTAGTGAATCAAAGTTGTGAGATTTCACCTCAACATAGGAAAAAAAACTTTCTAGCAATTAGAATAGCCCATACTAGAATGTCTTGCTGTTGAAGCAGTGATCTCCCATCTTCAATGCTCCTGCAGAGTCCATAGAACCAGGATTGTCAGAGAAAGGAATCCCTTCCTCAATGGGAAATGAGACTAGGAAACCTCTAAGATCAAATCTAATTTCCCAGAAGAGTCTTATAATCCAAGATCTTCCACTTACACCTTTGTAAACCTTGGGCACGTCATTTAACTTTTCTATGCCATAGTTTCCTCTTCAGCAAAATCGGGATAGTAATTGAAGCTGCCACAAGGGCTGTTGTGAATGAAATGAGTTTATAAACATAAAGTGCCTAGGATAGTCTTGGCATATAGTAAGTGCTCAACAAATGGTAGCTATGATGACAGCGGTGCAGTCTCCAATTACTATTATAAAACCATTTCTCAGCTAGGTGCAGTGGCTCACACCTGTAATCCCAGCACTTTGGAGGGCCAAGGTGGGAGGACTGCTTGAGGCCAGGAGTTCAACACCAGCCTGGCCAACATAGACAGAACTCCGTCTCTAAAAACAGAAAAAAGAAGAAAAAATTCTCCCTTTATTTTTGTCAGTTTGCTGCATATATTTGTGGCTCTGTTGTTTGGTGCATATGTGCTTATAATCATTATGGTTCCTGCAGGAATTAACCTTTTATCAACATAAAATCACCTTTGTCTCATGTAACAATTTTTATTATAACTTAGTCTATTTTGTCTGACATTAGTATAGCCAACCCAGCTCACTTTTAACCTGTCTTTTGATCTACCAAGGATCTCTTGTAGACAACATAAAATTGGATCATGCGGGAAGTTTTTTGCTCATTTTTGTTTTTATCCATTCAGCCAGTGTCTACATTTTAGTTAGTAAATTTAATCCTTTTGTACTTATAGTAATTACTGATTAGAAGGGACTTACGTCTGCCATTTTGCTATTTTTTTAAATTCTGTAGTGATGTGTACTGCTTCATAAATGCCAAGTATCAAGTTGGTTGATAGTGGTGTTCAAATCTTTTATATCTTTACTGACTTTTTTTTTCTCCACAAGTTCTGTCAATTAGTGATAGAGGTGTTATATTCAGCTATGATTGTGGTTTTGCCTCTTTTTCTCTTTGGTTTTATCAATTTTTGTTTCACATATTTTGAAGCTTTGTTGTGAGGTACATACGAGTTTTTTTTTGGTTTTTTTGTTTGTTTGTTTTTTTGAGACAGAGGCTTGCTCTGTCACCCAGACTGGAGTGCAGTGGCATGATCTTGGCTCACTGCAACCTCTGCCTCCCAGGCTCAATGATCCTCCCACCTCAGCCTCCCAAGAAGCTGGGATTACAGGTGTGCATCACCATGTCCAGTTAATTTTTGTATTTTTAGTAGAGATGGGGTTTCACCATGTATGCCAGGCTGGTCTTGATCTCCTGAGCTCAAGTGATCCACCTCCCTCAGCCTTCCAAAGTGCTAAGATTACAAGCATGAGCCACTGTGCTCGGCCTGTTATGTATTTTTAATAAATTGATTCATTATGATAAATGATCCTTTTTTCTAGAAATGACCCTTGTTTTAAAGTCTACTTTGTTAATATAGCAACATCAACTTTCTTATGCTTTTTGCATGGTACATCTTTTTCACCCTTTTTCAATCTGTGTTTTATATTTACAGTGATTCATAAAGACAGCACATAGTTGGACCATGCTATTTTATCCAGCCTGACAATTGCTACCTTTTAATTGGAGATGATGGTCTTTACATTTAATGTAATTATTGACACGATTTTTAAGTCTGCCATCTTTATATTTATTTTCCATTTGCCTCTCTTCTTTGTTCCTCTATTCTGCTTTCCTGACTTTTTCGTAATGTGATATTTATTACTTCCTTCACTGATCTTATAGCTATACCTCTGTATTTTTTTCAATGTTTTCTTTAGTGATTGCAGAGTGCATCTTTTTTCTTTTTTTTTTTTTTTGAGACAGAGTCTCGCTCTGTCGCCGGGGCTGGAGTGCAGTGGCCGGATCTCAGCTCACTGCAAGCTCCGCCTCCCGGGTCCACGCCATTCTCCTGCCTCAGCCTCCCGAGTAGCTGGGACTACAGGCGCCCGCCACCTCACCTGGCTAGTTTTTTTGTAGTTTTAGTAGAGACAGGGTTTCACCGTGTTAGCCAGGATGGTCTCGATCTTCTGACCTCGTGATCCGCCCGTCTCGGCCTCCCAAAGTGCTGGGATTACAGGCTTGAGCCACCGCGCCCGGCCCAGAGTGCATCTTTAACTTATCAAAGTCTAACTTCATTTGACTTCCCTGGCTTGTTGTGCACTTACTGTTGGATAGCTTACTTCTACTACTACTATATACCAAATAATATGTTATTATTTCTGCCTTAAATAGTCCATATTTTTAAAATAAATGTCTGTATTAAAGAAAGATATTTTAAAAGGTCCCTTATATTAATCCATATATTTACCCTTCCTGGTGTAATGCATTCCTTCAGATCTGAACTTCCTTTATTATAACTTCCCTTCAACTTAAAGAACTTCTTTTAACACTGCTTGTAATATAGGTCTGATGTAGACAAATTGTTTTTGCTTCCTTCAAAAATATCTGTATTTCTCCTTCACTTTTGAATATTTAATTCCAGGTTAGCAGATTTGCTTAAAAAATAAAATACAGCACTTTAAAAAAGTTAGTCCAGGCCAGGCACAGTAGATTACACCTGTAATTCCAATACTTTGGGAGGTGAGGCAGGAGGATCACTTAGCTCAGGAGTTTAAGACCAGCCTGCGTAACACAGTAAGACACTGTCTCTACAGAAAATTTAAAAAGTAGTTGGGCATGGTGGCATGCACCTGTAGTCCCAGCTATTCAGGAGGCTAAGGTGGGAGAATTTCTTGAGCCCAGGACATTAAGGCTATAGTGAGCTATGTTCACACCACTGCACTCCAGTCTGAGCAACAGAGTGAGACCCTGTCTCAAAAAAAATTTTCATTTTCCTCTGACCTGCATTGTTTCTGACAAGGTGTCAATTATTCATATTACTGTTCACCTTTATGTAATTTTTTCTTTTCTACCTCCTTTTAAATTTCCTTTATAAAAATTTTTGATTTTCAGAAAGTTGACTCTGATATACCTCAATTTAGACTTCTGTCCCTGCTCTTCCTCCTCTCCTTCTTGAACTTTAGTTGCATGTATGCTAGACAATTTTGTATTGTCCCACAGATCTTGAATGCTGATTTTTATTGATCTGTCCCTAAGTTTACTGGTGCTTTCTTCTGCTGTGTGCAGTCTGCTATTAAGCCTATCAAATGAATCCTTCATTTCTAATATATTTTTCATTTCTAGCATTTCCACTTGAAGAAATAGTTTACATCTTTCTGCTGAAATTTTCTCTGTTTATCCATGTTGTTCAACGTCTGGGCCATCACTGACACTGTTTCTGTTGCCTCCTTCTTCCCATGACCATGGATCACATTTTCTTGTTTCTTTCTCTATCTCATAATTTATTTCATGCCAGATACTGTGTATAAAAGAACATTAATTTATCTCCATAAAGGGAAGTTCCTTCTTCAATTAAGTTGTTGGGAAACTGGGAGTGACAGCTCAATCCTTTTAATCTATAGTTGAGCTGGGTTTGAGATTGTAGTGTTAGTTCATGATTGGCTTATAATAATTTCAGGGTGAAATCAGAACTTTACCTTCAGGAGAAGCTAAAATCTGAGCACTGTTGAAGCTTCATACATCTCTGAGCTTCATAACCTATGCTAGCTTTCCGAACTGTGAGATATCTTCCCTCCTCTCTGCCCTCCCCTCACATTCCAGCTTTCAGCTAGGGTGTTGTCCTTGGTCTCCAGCACCACCTTCTGTTTTCTGTGCCTTGAGGAGATCTCTTTTTGCTCTGTTACCCTGACTATGCCTTCTCAAAGGCTGACTTGTCCTCAGTAAAAGCCTAGATAGTCATAAAGAGATTTCTTAGCTGTCTTGCCATGCCCCCAGCCTGTTGCAGGCCCAGCCTTAGACTTCATAAAGCCCCTGGTGCACTACAGGGATTTCTATTAACTCTCCTGCCCTGCCCCCAGCCTTCAGCAAAATCCACCCACCTCAGCAGGATCCTTCTTAGCTCTCTTTCTCTTGCCCCTGCATCCGAACTCCTATTCCAATGTACTAACTGAAGGCCCATGGGGGAAAAGTTGGCAGGTAGTACAATGTAGTCCTGCACTGTAGTTGGAACTCCTCAGGATTCCAGATTGTCACTCCAGCCTACATGCAGTCAGTAACAGTTGACTTCTCTTTATATGGCAAATTCTTCCTCTTGCTGTTCCACCATAGATGAAAAGTATCTATGTATCTCTCTCTCTCTCTTTTTTTTTTTCCTCTTGAGAAGAAGGGCTCACTACTTTCCAGATTTTTGTTTCTTCAGATTTTTTTGTGTCAACTCTGATAGGTTTTTTTAAAATTATGATTTTGTACCTTCTCTGACTTTTCTCACTACCAGAATGGGAGCAATAATGTCAACTGTTGCAACTTTCAACATTGTAACAAGAAATGGAAGTCTTTATTATCCTTTTTGATAGAAGAAAAACAGACTTGGAGAAAATAAATGACTTGACCAAGGTTCAGAGCTAAGAAACAGAAAAGCTACAATTTGAACATGACTACAACTCCAGGGCTCTTTATGCTGCACAAGTAGTATAGGCTGTTTGACTCCGGGAAAGTCATTTAACCTCTCAGTATTTAGTATTTCTAGTTGGTAAAAGGAAAGAATTGTACTAGATGAACTCAAAGTCTCTTCCAACTCTAACACTCCAAGAGTCATTGAAGTCAAATTTCTGTTTTCTTCATCCCTACCCCAAATTTGCTCCTTCCATGGTCTTCATCTCAGCAAATGGCAGGTCCTTCTTCCTCTTGCTCAGGCTCAAATCATCAAAATCATTTATATTCCATAACCAATCCATCAGCTAATCCTACGGATGACTGCAACAATAATGCCATAGTCACCCTGCTTTGTCCCTTCTCCCCTAATTTTACTCCAGAATGACTCTCTTATAAAATATAAGTCATATATGCCACTCCTCTACTTAAACCCCACCGATCCCTTCCCCTTCCATCAAAGGAAAAGTGAAAATCCTTTACACAGGTTAAAAGTCCTATGTGATTTGACTCCCTTAACTACTTTGATCTTACTTCCTACCACGCTTCCCTCTCTGACTACACTCCAGCCCCACTGGTTTTCTTTCTGTTCATCTAACACAACAGGCATCTTCTTGCCTCAGCACCTTTGACTAGTGACACAGTCTTTCTTCAGGCATTCCCATGGCATATCCTCTGCTCAAATGTCACTTTATCAGAGAGGCCTTCCCTTCTATTCTACATTAAAAGCAACACCTCCCTTCTCTCATTCACTTTCCAACCCTGCCCTACAATTCTTTCTGTCCTACCCAGCTTTATTTTTCTCCGAAGTACTTTTCACCACCTTATCTG